TGAATAGGTTACACATGGTTTGCCTGAGTTTATTAAAACAATGGAATCGGCTATAAATAATGCAGAAAAGATTTATAAATCTTTGAATATAAATAAATTTAAACAAATAGAAACAAGATGAGTGACAAAATAAGCAAACCTCTGTGACTTTTCCAAAGGCAACCTTTAAAAACATTGGTAGATTTTCAAAGCTATTTACTAAAGTGAACAGAAACAAACATTGTATTATTGGAGAATGATAATTTAGTCCTGTTTGGAAGGAATTGAGGTTTGAGGATGTACATGTACTTGTAGAGTATTTCTGAAATGATGGTGACCAGAAGCATTATTAAATTTAGGATTTTTTAAAAAGTTTGTAATGTTTGCATATACACAATGAGATATTTTGGGAATGGGATCTAAGTCTAAACATTAAATTCATTTATGTTTCATATACACATTATACACATAGCCTGAAAGTAATTTTATGCAATATTTTAAAATAATTTTGTGCAAGAAAATTTTGACTGCCACCTGTCACACAAGGTCATGTATAGAATTTTCCACTTGTAGCATAATGTTCGCACTCCACAAGTTTCTTATTTAGAAGCACCTCTTTTTTGAGGTGGAGTTTTACTCTTTTTGCCCAGTATGGAGTGCAATGGTGCAATCTTGGCTCACTACAACCTCTGCCTCCTGGGTTCAAGTGATTCTCCTGCCTCAGCCTCTCGAGTAGCTGGGATTACAGGCATGTGCCACCACACCTGCCTTATTTTTGTATTATTAGTGGAGATTTTCACCATGTTGGTCAGGCTGGTCTTGAAGTACTGACCTCAGGTGATCAGCCCACCTTGGCCTCCCATAGTGCTGGGTTTACAGGCATAAGCCACCATGCCCGGCCTTGAATCATTTTTGATTTGCGATTTTGATTTGAGCATAGGAATGCTCAACCTATATTTCTGAAAAGAGGGTACTCTTTTCAGTGTAACCCTTCAGGATGAAATTTGTACTCCTTTCCTAAGGGGAATGGAGGGTCATCTTTCTTTTAGTCCAGATATTAAGAGCAGTGTAGTAATGTGATGTTTGGTTATTACGACTGACTACATGGTGTAGAAAGGTCACTGGTCTAAGAAGGAAGAACTGTAGGTTCTCATTCCACATGCATCAATAACTGGCTTTGTGACCTTGGGAAAAATCAATGAATTTGACAAATATTCCTTAAGTTAGATACTATGCAAGATGTTGGAGCTACAATGGCAATAGGAAAAGTTCCTTGACTTTCCCCTGAGAAAGACTGACAGTAAAAAAATAATAATAAAGAGCTACATGTGCAATAGTAAGAAACAGATGGGATGGTGCTAGGGACAGAGTAGACATTTTAGGAGTTTCAAGCCATTTGAGAGATTTGCTAGATTTGAGAATGCCAGATTTGAGGGTGCTTGACAGGTGGGCCAAAGATAAGGCTGGATTCACAGGCAGAGACCAAATTGTGTAGTGTCTTCTGCATTACAGTAAGAATTTTGACCTTAATGATATATCTAGTAATGCTCAAATCTTAGTATGCAGCAGAATTACTCGGGGGAGTTTATTAAAACACATGTGTATGCCTTTGAGTGACAGCATCAGAATCTCCAGTGGCAGGATCAGGGCACGTGTATTTGACAAGCCCCTCAGGTGCTTCTAGTGTGCACAAAAGTTTGAGAGCCACTGGTATAGTCAGTGGGGAGCCACTGAACATCCTGGTGTAAGGGAGTAACACCAGATTTGTATTTTAGAAAGATCACTCTGCTAAGAGCGAAGAGAGCAGACTTGAGGGGTATGATCCTAGAGCCAGGGAGACTGATTAAAAGATGACTTTCTCTACAACTCAGGACCCACCCTCCTCTCCTGGGCATATGTCTGAGAAAAAAATCCAATATATGTACCTTAGGAAACAGCAGAAAAGTGTTCATAGTAGCAACGTGCGTAGTAGCAAAAGCAATAATAATAATAACAAGACTATCCGAAATATCTATAAATAGGAGGATAAATGGATATTGTCCCACAAGAAAATATCCTACAACAGTGAAAATGAATGAATCAAATCTATATACAGTTAAACAGGTGAATCTTACAAACACAGGGGTCCCCCTATCCTCGGGGAATATATTCCAAGACCTCCAGTGGATGCCTGAAACCTCAGGTAGTACTGAACCCTGTATATACTATGTTTTTTTCTATACATAACTATGATAAAGTTTACAATTTATAAATTAGGTACAGTAGGGATTAACAACAAATAATAAAATTGTATAATTATTATAATATATTGTAATAAAAGTTATGTACATTTGATCTCTTCTCTCTTTCCCTCTCAAAATATTTCACTGTCCTGTACTTAGCCTTCTTCCTGTTGTGATCTGTTGATTTGATAACTGAGACAGCTACTAAGTGACTTACATGTGGGCAGCATGGACGGTGCAGATACAGTGGACAAAGGGATGATTCGTGCGCAGCTGGGGAGAAGGAGACAGTGCAAGATTTCATCATGCTACTCAGAATGCCATGTAATTTAAAATTTATGAATGTTTATTTCTGGAATATTTAATATTTTTGGACCGCAGTTGACCATGTGTAACTGAAACCATGAAAAACAAAACTGTGGGTAAGTGGGAACTACTGTAGAGTTTTGAGAGTAAAAAAGCAGTAATGAAAGACTCCATACTGTGAAAGTTGTTGAAATCAAAGTTGAGTGACTTACGTCAGACGCTGGCAAATGGAGTTAGGCAATCATGAAGTGGGTGGGGGGCAGGGAGGGGGACTCACACATATTTTCCAGAAACTATCCCAAAAGATTCTGCCAAAACCACAGTCTTGCATAAAACCACCACAACCTTGCATACACACACACACACACACACACACACACACACACAAAGAGAAAAAGAAAATACTTTTGTGAGGACATCTACCCAGCAACGGCCTCTCACGTCTTGGACTGACACTACCCTTGTTAGTGATCCTTGTAGCCAAGGATAATTGTCTCACAACAACTTATGTCACCCTCCTCATTTTGCCTTTAAAAATGCTTGTCTCTCTTTGCTTTCCTGGATGTGCCCATGACTTATCATAGCATGTGTGCCCCACATTGCAATGCACTACTCGTTCCTGATTAAACTAAATATTTTTAGAGAGCTTCTCTCTGCTTGTTATTTAGGTTGACAATACTACGTGATACCATTCAAATATGGTTTTAAAGAGAACAAAATTAAACAGTCTAAAAACACACATTGTTTTTCAGCAAAGCAAGGGAATAAAACTACACAATTTAGGATAGCATTACCACTTGTAGAGGTCAGTGGATTTGGCTAAGGATAAAATACACCATATCTTCAATGGTGATGATAATATTTTATTTCACTAGTTGAATGGTGGATTGATGGCTGTTTATGTTTTGATAATGCTTCATAACTTATATTTGGTAAGCAGTCTGCAAAGAGGGCTCTCTAAAGCACCATGCCTCCCAGTGTTCATGCGTTTGTATAGTCCTCTCCCACATTGAAACTGGGGGTTTAATCAAGAGGATGGAGCAGAAGTGACACTGTGTGACTTCCAAGCCTAGGTCACAAGAAGTCTTGTATCTGCCGCCTAGGCCTCTTGAAATACATGTTCTGAGAAAGCAAGCCACCATGCAGGAAGTCCAAATATCCAGAGACTGCCATGTGAGGAAGCCCAAGTTAGCCACATGGAGAGGCTGCCTGGAAACAAGGGATGTCTGGCTAGCTATTCCCAGTGGAGACACTGGTTATATAAGTGAGGAAGCCATCACGGGTGTCCAGCACAGTTGAGTCTGCAGATGACTCCAGCCCCAGTCACCATCTGACTGCAACTGCATGAGAAACACCAAGAGAGAACCACCCAACTGAGCCCAGTAAACCCTCAGAACTGTGAGAGAGAGTACATCACTGTTGTAAGCCACAAAGTTGGAAATGGTTGGTCATACAAGAGACAGCCAGAACATGCATTCTTTTGTATGCATCAAAACTTACAATTTTTTTTTCAGAAATGAGATTATTAACATACATTGGAGTCAGACAGTTTGGCTTCAAATCCTGGTTCTACCACTCCTAGCTTCTGTAACTTATCTTGAATAAGTCATTTAACCTTTCTAAGAATCAGTTTTATCATCTGAGAAATGGAGAAAATAATAGTTCCTACCTCGTAGGTAAGTTGAGAGGCATAAGAAATACTAACTTTGTATATTCTTACCTAGGCAGAAGGTAGGGCCATTATTACAACTTGTAGGAACCAGGCAGTACTACACAAACGTGCTTCCTATGTGAATCAAAAGAGGAAAGAAAAAAGCTTTTGTAAATGAAATGTGGATTATAGCTCAAGAACTCCTATGAGTATTCATGGAAAACAGGATTCAGCGGGAACAAGTGGCTATAAAGTCTGTTCCCACTCTGGTTTTATGAAGATTCATTGATTTCCTGCAGTTTATTTCAGGTATAAAACATGTGAACTCAGATTTCTTAGAGATAGATTTCCCTGGTTATTTCCCTAATTTTAGCATTCTCTCTGCCCATGGCTTCCCTCTCCTGTGGAGCTCTCCACTTTGGGCGCAGTCATCTCATGTTAGGTGAAAGCAAAAAATAAAGGGGTCGTTCAGCCAATCCACTCGATGGCTGGTTAATCCATTGCATAGAAGGAAGGGGCAGGTAAGGAGGAACAGGAGACCAATTGTGCTGTTCTTTCTGCAGGGCATTTGAAGTCTGGGAACAGAAGCTGGACAAGTGACTCTAGGAAGCAATCTTGTTTGAAAGATGAATATGCTCTAGGAAAAGGTGAAATACAACCATTGTGCACCCCACAGATATCCTCAGAATATAACGAAAGCCAATTTCCACCCTTTCCCACTTAGCTTGGTCCACAAGCTACACGGTTCAAGAGGATTAGCAAAAGGCCAGCCAGGAGGTAAGCATTGTTCTAAAAAGCCTGTTGCCCGTGGAGCTTGTGAACCACAAAACATCAACATTGACATTAGCTGGAGGAGATCTGACGGGAATCAGGCATGGCATGACTGCAGGCTGCGTAGGGGCTAGGCACTCTATCTGCAGACCCTGGAGCTCACCGGGATCAGAGGATGATTTCCATCTGTTCTCCACAACCACCGGGGCAGAACAAAGAGGATGGGGTTATAATCCAGCAGGAGGTATATGGGTTAGATGAGCTCCAGAGGTCTCTTTAAGCTCTAATTCAATGAACACTGTCTTTCTTATCTCTGAGAAGAGGTAGCATTAACAAAAACTGAGCGTGCTTTAAAAAAAAACTGTACTTGTGAAGCATTTGTTGAAACTTCATAAATATCTGTGCTTTAAAAAATTTTTTATTGAAGTTAAATGTTCAGATTTGCTAGAGAGCTGCTGCAGAACTTCCGAGCTTTATTTACATAATCTTTCTCTTTACAGATTCCTTCTTTCTTCCACTGAATTTTGAGGAGGAAAACAAGTCATTTCTTCTCCAAGAAGTCCCTCTGCTTCCAGCAGTCTCCTGTGGTTTTTAGTTGCAATCCTAAATGTCAGAAAGCAGGGTGAAACCTGTGGTGGAAACTTCAAGGTAGGATCTTTCGATAATTAGCTAGCAAGGTCTTGTTGTTTAGCCATGTATAGTATCTAGAGGATTGCTACTGTTCTCCTTTTCCTGTGAATATGGATATTCACATCTCTACCTCACTGAGCTTTCCTAATAAATTCCAATGCATTAAAAATTTTTCAGGCCAGGTGGGGTGGCTCATACCTGTAATCCCAGCACTTTGGGAGGCCAAGGAGGGTGGATCACCTGTGGTCAGGAGTTTGTGACCAGCCTGACCAATATGGTGAAACCCTGTCTCTACTAAAAATAAATTATTAGCCAGGCATAGTGGTGCATGTCTGTAATCCCAGCTTCTTGGGAGGCTGAGTCAAGAGAATCACTTGAACCCTAGAGGTGGAGGTTGCAGTGAGCTGAGATTGTGCCATTGCACTCCAGCCTGGGCGACAAGAGCAAAACTCTGTCTCAAAGAAAAAAAGAATTGAAACAATTTTACTTACAGAAAAATGGCAAACACTATAAATATGTTTTCCGAGAATCATTTGAGAATAAATTGTTGACCTGATGGCCCATAATCCCTAAATACTTTAGTCCAAGAGCATATTCCCACATAACAATGCAAGTACCCAAATCAGGAGATCAAAATTGATACTTTACTACCATCTAACTCTCAGATTCCTTTCAAGATTTGCCAACTGTCATACTAATATCCTTCACAGAAAAAAAATCTGGTTCAGAATCAAGTGTTTTATTTAGTTGTTATTTAAGTTGCCTTCACTTTAGAATGGGTTTCTGCCTTTCCTTGACTTTTGTTACTTGGATACTTTTGAAGATTACAGATTAGTTTTTTTTTTTGTTTTTTTTTTTAGTAGAATGGCTGTCATTTTGTTACCTCGTGATCAGATTCACAGTATGCATTTTGGCAAGAATGCTACCAAAGAGATGTTGGTTTTCATTGTATCCTATCAGATGGAATGTGATTTTGATTTGTCTGATGAGCTGATGATGTTAACTTAGATCACACTAGTAAAGTCACACCTGCCAGTCTTCTCTGTATTTACCTCTTCCCCTTTTAAATCAACAAATATTTTGTGGGGAGATACTTTAAGCTACATAAATATCTTGTTAGCTATCTAACTTTCTATTTATGTCAGTGTGGACTCTTGGAGTCCTATTTCATTCAATGGATTATAATATTACAATATTTATTTTGATACTCAAATGACCAGTGGGATCCCCTTGAAGGTGGTTCCCATGTCCTTTTCACAAGTCCTCATAGTTTGTTTAGTATTTTCTTGCTTCCTGGCACGAGAAGATGTTCCAGGCTCATCTGGTCCTTTTTCTGCCCCAGCCTTGGAATCAGCCATTTCTCTAAGGATGCCAGTTCTGTTTAATGGAGAATGGTATTTAGAAACTAAGCTTTGGTTGCTAGGGGTGCACATGGCTATTGGGGTATTGCTGCTCCTAATTCTCTCAGCCCTTTCAAGCCCCTTTTTTACAGTTTAAGAAAATTACCCATTTGTCACATGTGTTGCAAATAGCTTTTCTCAGTGTGAAGTTTTTGTTTTGGCTTTATTTATGATGATTTTTTTGCTGTTCAGAAATAATTGATCATTTTGTAACCCAATTTGCCCACCGTTCTTGTTTTGCTTCTGTGATTTATTAGCCATTGCACACTTCAGAGTTAAAAACATTTTTCCAGTGTTTTCTTCTAATTCTTTCATAGAAAAAGATTTTTCTTAAGTCTTGAAGTACACATACTTGTATGTTGGTGAAGAAACAATTGTGTTTCATTTAGAGAGCAAGCTCAGTGTCACAGACTCATTCACTGTCTGAGGAAAACCAAAGCCAGATCCAAGTTTTTGGATATGTAAGCATTTTGTAAACAGTTCTAGGAGTTCCTTATCTAAACTAGTGCTTTTCTTACCTTGGTTGACGATTATCACAACCTTAGGAGATTTTCTCAAACACGCTGGTACTCAGTATCCACCACACAAAGCAATTGAATAAGAACCTCTAGGGATTGCTGGGTAAGAACTTTTCAAAAGTGTTCCAGGTGATCCTAATGTGCTGCCAAGACTGAGAACCAACTCAACTAATTACACTTCTTCACGCTTGTCTAAAATTCTACCATGAGTAACTGTTTCCTTCAGACTAAGCAATTCCTTTTGGTTATCATCTTTCTTGGTTATCTTCTTTTAAAACATAATTCTGTACAAAGATTTAACACATCTAGTTTCTAGTAATTTAGACTAGTGAGTTTAGCAGACTTTTTTTTTGTTTTTTGAGACAGAGTCTCACTCTGTCGCCCAGGCTGGAGTGCAGTGGCATGATCTCGGTTCACTGCAACCTCTGCCTCCTGGGTTCAAGCGATTCCCTGCCTCAGCCTTTTGAGTAGCTTGAATTTCAGGCACCTGCCACCATACCTGACTAATTTTTGTATTTTTAGTAGAGATGGGGTTTCACCATCTTGGCCAGGCTGGTCTTGAACTCCTGACCTCATGATCCATCCGCCTCAGCTTCCCAAAGTGCTGGGATTACAGGCGTAAGCCACCGCACCTGGCCAGTTTAGCAGACATTATAAATGAAGACACAAGCATTAAAGTTACATTTATGTGTGGGTGGTAACTATACACACAGCACACCCACTCTCCTGTGCTGGTTGTACACAGAGGCAGCAGCCACCTAGGTAAAGGTGATATGGGTGGAAATGTTAATAGGAAGAAGCTTTGCCTTCAGAATAATCTCAAGGGGAACCCTTAACAATAGATTTGGGTTTTTGAAAACAAGAGCAAGCTGTGAGGTATGTGATGTTAAAAATATGACCCATTATCTGTGTGATTATGAGCAAGTTACTTTACTTTGAAGAGCCTCAGGTGCCTTATTCACAAAAATGAAGCTGATATTAATACCTCTCTCATGAGATTGTTGTGAGAATTACATCAAATGAATGATAAAGGTAAAGCCCTTTACAAGTACCTCACATAGCAAATAGTAAGTGTTTGCCTTTAAATAAAGGGTAGCTACTTTCATTTCTTCTGGCCAGTACCACTTCTAACAGATAACTACTTCTGCATTAACCAAGTTGCACATTGGCTTGAATTTGCTTCTTGAGTGGCCTGTATATAATATTCAGTAGTATCACTATTTAATATTAATCTTACAATAAGAGTTTTGAGCTGAGACAGTTTTTTTCTCTCTTTTTTTTTTTTGTTTGGTAATAAGTATGTATTTCTTGATTTCTAAGGAAAATTCAGTAAAGGAAAAAGATACACTTAAAATAGGTTGAATAGGTAAGTTTTTTATCCTAACTGTTAGAATTATGTGGGGGCAACGAATGAGTCAAAGTGGTAAATAATGCTAAAATTGTTTATTGCATTGCAGTTGCAGTGCCGTAACTCTTGCATTGTCATGTGTATGTGTCATACATTCTAGAAAAAGTAATGTTAGAACATGAGGAAATCATGAATGTTACTGAACATAGATATTTATTATGGTGTTTAAATTATATATGCATACATATATATTTTTTTGAGGTGGCTTCTTGCTATGTTGGCAGGCTGAAGTGCACACTACAACCTCTGCCTCCTGGGTTCAAGCGATTCCCCTGCCTCAGCCTCCCAAGTAGCTGGGATTACAGGCGCATACCCATGCCTGGCTTTTTGTATTTTAGTAGAGAGGGGTTTCAGCAGGATGGTCTCTATCTCCTGACCTTGTGATCCACCCGCCTTGGCCTCCCAAAGTGCTGAGATTACAGGTGTGAGCCACTGCACCCAGCCTTAAATTAATATTATAAATAAAATATTAGGTGACCTTATTTTACCTGATGTATTTTAAGAGTCAACCGACCTTGTGACAGTTTGAAATAATAGAGCATCTCAGAAATAGGCTCAGAATTATGTAGCCTGAGGCATGCACAATTTCCTGTGGTGTCAAGTAAAATGAATATGAAGTACATCCTTAATAAGTAGAAACAAAAACTGATAGCCCATACAAAGGGGGAATTCTCTTAAGCTTTATATATATATGAAAAATCTATCAACATAGTTCTTTTATTTAAAGGAAATTGATGGTTTAAGTAAACCGTATTTATATAGCCATCAATTCTCTTTATAAAGATCTTCCACAGGGAAATTTTTGCACCTGTTAATCGTTTCCAAGACACAGTCAGTTGACAGGGTTTATATTGATGCCTAAACCAGGACACAGGTTGGAGGGGTTGGAAGAATACTTGCTTTCACCCAGTAAGTTTTTATTAAGTCTCCAGGATGAATTAGCTCTATATTAGGGACTGAGATAACTATGGGCTTGTATAATGTAATAAAGGATATGTGAAATGCTAGATAATGATAACCTTGTTTTTTTAAACTAAACTACAGAGAGGTATTTATTTGGATTGAAGTAGTCAAGGAAAGCTTTGTAAGATAGGACCTGGCTTGGGACTTAAAGTGTCTGGACAGATAGAAGTGGAGGAAAGAGAAAGAAGGCATTCCAGGAAGAACAATGTATACATATAAACTTAGAGGTGAGAATAAACAGTTAGTGTGTGGGGGCTACATTCATTCTTTATTGCTATGTAACAAATCATCTCCCAATGTAGTGACTGAAAACAAAGGCCATTTGCCCTTGTCCATTATTGTAAGGTTGGATGGGTGATTCTGCTGATCTGGACCAGGCTCTGTTGGTCTCAGTTGGACTTGCTATCAGTTGGGTTGCAGTCAGCTGGAAGGTCAGGCAGGGGTGGGCTGGTCTGGAGTAACTCACATGTTAGGCTCGTTGGCTGGTTGTTGGTAGGTTGTTGGCCAAAGTGCCTCAGATTACCTCTGTTTATTCTCTCATCTTCCAATTGCCTGGTCTGTGCTTGTTCTCTGCACATGGCAGGGATACAAGGGAGCAAGAGCAGGAGTGTTTTTCTCTTGAGGTATAAACTTGAACCTGGCACACTACTGCATTTTTGCTAAATTCTATTAGTCAAAGCATATCACAAGGACAGCCTGGATTCCAGCAGTAGAGACTTAAATGGGAGG